AGCGCCCTTGTAATAAATTGTGTTATTTACCTAAGAATTAGAATGTTTGTTAATATCATATAGTAATTTTTTGTATTTGTTAACCAATGATTTCAAAAGGAAGGATAGGCCCTTCTAAATATTTTACTCATAACTTTTTCATACAAGAAAAAGTAGCGCATCTGTCATAATAAAAACGTCTTATCAAAACACGACGTAACCAGGGTCAGATTTTGTAGTATAATTATCCTAATTGTATCATTATTTCATAGTTTGTAGTATATAGTATTGTAATAATACTAAATTGGGTTATTTACCTAAGAATTAGAATGTTTGTTAATATCATAGAGTAATTTTTTGTATTTGTTAACCAATGATTTCAAAAGGAAGGATAGGCCCTTCTAAATATTTTACTCATAACTTTTTCATACAAGGAAAAGTAGCGCATCTGTCATAATAAAAACGTCTTATCAAAACACGACGTAACCAGGGTCAGATTTTGTAGTATAATTATCCTAATTGTATCATTATTTCATAGTTTGTAGTATATAGTATTGTAATAATACAAGGGATAATACCATAATTTTACCTTAACGTCGTACTTGTATTATTATTGGGTCCTTTTAAATTTTAATATTAACTCTACGATATCGAGAATATTTGTATTGTACATGAGTACCGCGTTTTTTTAATAAACTTAGAATTAGCTCCCTTTCTGATCAATCGATGCTCGATCAATGCATTTATGTTGCAGGCTTGATACAATTTAATGAGGGTAGCCCCTCATTAAATTGTATCAAGCAAAGAATAGAAAGATACCAAGATAAAAACTACAACAAACAATCGGTTTAAAAACAGAATTGCAAAATATATTATGAATCAGAATTGCAGATTCAATTAAGCAGATATGGTTTCTTTTGTATTATTTTCGTTTTACCCTAATTGAATATAAAATATATTCGGTACCAATATTCAAAATTTATCTTACACTAAATTATTTAGACAAAAATTAAATAGAAATAAAAATAAAACCGTCAAAAAACGAAACGCATAGATAAACTAGACGCGTGACGCCAAAATCCCGGCACATGGGGAAAAAAGAAACATGAAAGTTCAAACGTGATATAATTTTTTTAAATAGTATTTTTAATTCCCATGTACAATAGTTTTGAGGGTCCAAATTCAGCCCTGGCCTAATCTTGGTAACGTAACTAAACTAACTGTAAAATAAAACTTTAAAAATGCGTTTATGTAATAATTTAATTTTAACAAAATTAATATAAGGTTATTTACCGATGATACGATATCCCATGTTTTTTTTTAAATATTTGTTTCGTAATTTTTGCATTCTTTTACCATACAACTAGACATATTTATGACAGGCAAATCTGTCCTGCGCGCGCACTACTGTCGACCGATTCGCGTTGGCCCTAAACTGTAATTTTAGGGCCAGCGCACTGGTCCGTTTTAGTTCTTCGATCGGCCAATGTTGTTAACTAACTAACTAATTTTATAGATAATTCCTTTTTTGTTTATATTGTGCCTCATGGTAGGCGGTTTTGTATATAAGTATTTTATTGCAGTTAGATTCATTTGAAATTTTGTTAAATTTGGAAATGAACAAGTCTTTTGGTGGGCGGTATGTTTAAAATTAAGAAATTTTTGTTAGTAAATATTACAGTGACATATCATTGTCATGTATTTAGAAAAATGTAGAGATAATCATAGAGGTGCAATATCAGTTGTCAATGTTAAATATGCTCAAAGCAATAATAGATGGCACCACAAATATAATTGTATTACGCAATAACTGCACTATTGCTATACCTTATAGGTGTTGGATGGTTTCGAATAAATGAGTCAAAAGTGAAGTAAAAGTGCAGCGTTTAATTTAATAGTGTAGAAGCATAGTGAAGTGAGTTAGTTAACAATCGTAGTCGATGGTTTATGTTCCGAGTCCAAGCCTGTGAATGCTGATATTCTACAAGACTGCCTGCTATTCTTTATTTTATCGCACTCCCTCATTGCCTCAGCCAACATCAGAATCCTTGGCGTCGACATTACAAGAGACGTACAGTTCCACAGTCACTTGAATAGGAACGCTAAACTGACATCAAAATGTTTGGTGTGCTCAGTAGATCAAAACGGTATTTCATGCCGACCCACCGCTTGCAGCTTTCATCATCAAATGCATGAAACGGAAATAATGACAATTACGTGGAATGTAATACAATTACGCGCGCAATAGTGCGTCGCTGCAATCGTCTAATATAGACCTCAATACGGGACATCTCCTTTATGAATCGTTTTATAGATGTGTCCAAACAATGCGATCCAAATTTTCAGATATTGAAGCAAAAATCTGATAGGCAGTCATCAGCAACAGACTTCAAGACGACGCAAGCGAAACGCAAATTATGACAATTTTAGCAGGTCTCGGTTGCCAACGATTCGAACAGCTCTGCGCTGGACGTGATCAAATGGAAGGAGCTGACACTGGGGAGCCCCGGCCCAGAGATGGGAACAGTATTCCATATGTGGCCGAACCTGCGCCTTGTAAAGTAGCAGGCGGTGAGCCGGCCTGAAATACTGTCCCGCTTTTTAGATGCCAATTTGGCCTTCTCTTCCAAGTGACCACGAAACTGCCCGTCACTCGATAAGTCGACGTCGAGGATTTCAATACTGGCTGAGGCAACAAGGTGAGTGCCTTGAAACTGAGGAGATACGACGAAGGAGGTTTTTTTAGCGGTAAACGCGCAAACATCTGGGGATCCGCGGAGGCGAGGTAACCAGTTGTGATCATATGCCAAAGCAAAGTTGTAAACAAATCTACGCACATTATCGGTTAAACGAGAACCAAGCCATTCAGCGTGGTAGGCGTTAGGCGTCCAAGTATCACGATCTCTGCGGATGGGATCCGTTGCAGCACGGAGTCTGTAGCCATCTGGACGTGGTCAATGAGTCGGCCTGTTTCGGCATTACCGCTATGGGACGTATAGAGGCACCCGTAGACGTAAATTCGGATCGTCACGGTGTCATTTTTGTGGAAAACATTAACTTGCGTATATATGTAAACTTAAACTATTTTATTTTTGTACTCTGTTTTAATAATTACTATATTATTAAATTTTTTTTATTGAAAAGTTAATATACATTTCAACAAACAATCTATGTATAGTAATTTTAAAGTTCTATAACAAATATCCGAACTAAGAAGCTCCGAATCCGAACAACAGGTGACAGCTGTTTCATTTTTGACATCCATGAAACGTCACGGTCACGTCATACGTCACGCATAACGTCCTAGATGATTTTACCTAGAAGTAATTACGAGACCTGGATCTCATTAAATTGACGAGGCAGCAGAATCTGCCACCCAATGATCATGTAAACAAAATGAGGACCGCAATAGGTCGCGGCGTTTAGTGAGCGAGATGTCGATAGAATACGTATTGGTAAGTGAGGGCGAGCAGGACGAGCCCATAGAGCTACCGACTGAGGAAGACGGTTCTTTGCTTTTGAGTACAGTCACAGCTCAATTTGCTGGGGCTAGTGGACTTAAATATCGCGCTGGTGGTCGTCTCCGCGGTTTACGTCTCGTTGAGGACCGTGTGTCACCACCGCCAGGAGGTTGGGCAACTCATCGGTACTTCTGTGCATTTCCGCGAGCTAGTGCTCCGTCACCGCGTCCACGTTGCTCCGACCTTATCGTACTAGGATTACCGTGGAAAACTGGAGAAGATGCTGTACGGGAATATTTTTCTTCCTTTGGTGAGCTACTAATGGTGCAAGTTAAACGTGACGCAAAAACGGGTCTTTCCAAAGGTTTTGGATTCATCAAGTTTGCCGAGTATGAAGCTCAACTGCGTGCTCTCGGTCGACGACATATGATTGACGGGCGATGGTGTGACGTACGCATTCCCAATAGTAAAGATGGTGGAGCAGCTGCACATCGCAAGGTTTTTGTTGGGCGATGTACTGAAAACCTCACTGCGGATGATTTACGCGAGTATTTCGGGGCCTTTGGCCAGGTGACAGATGTGTTTGTGCCCCGACCTTTTCGTGCATTTAGCTTTGTCACATTCTTGGATCCAGAAGTGGCTCAGTCATTGTGCGGGCAGGACCACATTATCAAGGGTGTGTCAGTTAATATTTCGACTGCATCACCAAAGCGGGAAAGAGGCTCTCGTTCACAATTACTCGGCTGGGGCCTATTGGATGGAGCAGCACCACGAGTATATAGCTGGCCACCGGAGGCTTGGCCAGCGCACTCGCAGCACTCGGGACATGCAGCACTCGCACCTCATACACCTCACTCTGCAGCTCCTGACACCAAGCCCTACCTCAAGTATGAGTAATGCAGTTGCACTTGTTAATCAATTACTCACAGATTTTAAATGGAAGCAAATATGTAAATAATATAATATAGTTTAAAATGAAGTTACCTACATGTGTTTTAGTAAATACATTTTTATAGAAATGTAATTGTCATATTATAAGTCACAGTGGCTCATAGAATTAATGTAAAAAAAGAATCAGAGGAACTCTGATAAATCTTACTGAAATATTTGTATGTAACTCAAAAACAAAATGTAGTTTTACTAACTCTAACACCTGCAAATGAGTATATTGTGTAAACATGCTAGAAATTAGTATTGTTTTCAAAGTAAGACATAACACTAATAATGTTTTAATAAATCATTGGAAATTTGATATGTGTTGATGCAAAATTTGTTAAATTAACTCACTAAAAATGTTAGTATATTTATTATTTATATTTTAACATTGGTGGACATAGTTTACTAAATAGAATAATACTTGGAAATCATTATTACATAAGAATTTGAGTGTGCCTTCATTATGATAGTAAATATTTATTGTACATAGCTACTAATTATTTTCTTATTTAAACAGATTTAAAATGCTCTAGACATCCATTTGCCTGTCACTGCAGTGAGTAGTTCAGGTCCATAAATTGTGTTATTTTCTTTAAGATGAATAATTAAAAATTATTATGAATGTTATTCTATGTGTGGGGGATTGGAGACAATGCCTGCAGTATATTCAAATGAATTAATTGATGATTAATTTATAAGTCTTTTCATAAATGTTTTATTTGATGTTTTTAAAACATAAATATTATATGATTGGTGGTATATTTTATTTGATTAGTCAACCATATTTATTTTTAAGTAGTAGTTATGTTTGCCTTAATTACAATTGTATTTGTATATTTATATTCATTAAATAATATATACATACATAGCATCACACCTCTAATCTCCAAGAGGGTAGGTGGAGTCAAAAGAGCAGCAAGCTACTTTGACCACTTTTAGCCAAAAAATATGGGTTAAGATGGAAAATTGTGAAAGAACTGATAGGTAGCAAGCCCATCACCTACCTAATGGCAAGGCCATCACCTACCTAATCACAAGCCCATTAACTACCTCATTAGTTACCTTTTACAACATGCTGGGCAAGTAGTTGGCACAGTGACCAACATATGACACACTTTCGAGTAAATATATCCTGTATAACTATTTGAACTGACATCCGATAGGGATCAAAGGTTCTCGAGTGCTAGCCTCTTACTGGTGAGTGAATTGTAGGGCTACAGACTAGTAAGACATGCAGAAAGTTAATGTAGGCATGTGGTTTAGGCCCATCTTTTGTGGCATACCTTGAAGGGGCCCTATTCTCGTATTTGACAGTGGTGGTAATGATGATAATGATTTGAAAACGTGTACAGTATACTTGTAAATAAATAGTTAAGGAATGGACAAAGTTAAAACACATTTTTTGGAAAAGTGTTTATTTCATCTAAAATATCTCCATCAGCAAGGCACAGCTTGCTTCATCATAGAGGCAGAATCATATCTGCTACAGCAGTGTCAGTCTCAGTGTTCTACTTCCAACTTTAACATTTAGAAAAACTGATAACATATAAAATGATTTTTTCTATGACTATGATGTGTGAACAAAAAATGGTAAGTTACAAAAGCCCCCATATTCTTATAATATACACCATTTCAATAATTATAAATTATTATAATATGATCAGTATTTAGTGTTTCACATATGTACCAATATTGGAGTGTTGATCTTCGACTTCGAACTCGTCTATATTACTGGCACAAATCCTCCAAACTAATTAGGCAAAGTCATCAATGTTCTGCCCCAGCGCTTCACTTCCTTCTTCCTTGGTAGTATAAGCAGGTGGAAAGTCAGCGCTCATAAACCGCGGCTTCTAATAGTAACGTACAGAACAATATTTCATATGAGGTTTATTTTGGTGTACTTTAGCGAAGATACTTCGCGGCCCAGTCAACTCGCGCGGCACCGCTCCCCACTGTTGTCGTTTCTGTAACCGACAATAGAGTGATTTCTCTGAAATGCAAATAGTGTCCGACCGAACGACTACAGCCGAAAAAAGTTTCTAACAAGCACGAAAATAGAACGATTGCGAATGATCGAGAACGCGACATGGAACCCAATTTTTATCGTCCCCAGATCAACTTCTAGAGTTGATTAAAATTGCCTTTTTTATTACACCTATACCAGGGGTGGCGAACCATTATGTATTGTCAACGTGCCATTTTTCTAAAGAATTGTTTAATTAGGTAATAGACGTACCGCAAAATAATTTTGACTTCATGATTATGGAGAAAATAATAGTACTAAGTACTATCGACACAAAACTCTTTATTTACTACAAAAAATAAATAAAGAGTTTTGAGTTGAGACATTATTATAAATTGCAAAATGAATTTTGCAATGTATAATAATAAATGATAATTGATAGAATCAGGCGTTACTTTTTGGAGATCTATTATAATGAAGATATTAATAGTTATTTTGCAACCATCCGCTGAATTAAATAAAATGATGTATCTTCCCTAGTTCGAAGAGCACCTCCCGCCCTCCCTCAATTGCGTGCACTAATCCCGTCACCACTGATCCTAGCACCACTCCTCCCAACGCCACTATTCCCAACACCACTATTCTAGGAAAGACACACCATCGACGATAATACGAAACGTGTTTCGCCTCTACACGATGCATCTTCAGGTGAATCACCTTCACCGTCAGGTTCATAGGTTCAGGTTATTAACACAGTACTATATATTATATATATATATATATATATATATATATTTTTATATATATATATTATATATATATATATATTGTATCGCGTGCCATTGGTTCGCCATTCCTGACCTATACAGTAAATACAAACTTTCAATTTTAAAGTTTTATTGAGCTTTCATATTAGGTATTAATTTTAGCCAATCTTAAAATGAATTTCTTAGGATTTTTAAAGCTTCGGCTCCGGCCGAAGGTTGCGGCGGTAGTCGATTCGATTTCGATCAGAAATCGGCCTTTGGTCGGACACTAATTGGAAATGATTTTGTATGTTGAGAATGCATCTCACCTTGGTGTGATGGGAATGGAATGGGACGAAATAATGACGTGTCGATTCGCGTACCAGCGACGTACCGGGCCGCGCCTAGGTACGCGGCGGCAGCGGGGGGCGGGCGGGGCGCGGAGATCGACAGCCCTACCCCTGGCCCCACCACACTGCGTCCCCTCGCCGACTCTCGTATCTCACGCGCTTCCACTACCGGCCGCGCCTCATGTACAACTTCGCCACTGAAATTTTTTATATTATAGAATACGGGTGACAAACGAGCACACAGTCTGTCTACCTAAATTTATCCACGCTTAAGAACCAAATTGCAGAAGCGTTGTCACCCCTGAGGACTAAGATGGAATACCTCGTAACCCGAAATAAAAAGACTCCAGTTCCCTACACTCACAATACGAAACACAGCAGCATTAAGCTGCTATTTTACGTTGGTATTCTGTGAGAGCGTGGCCTACCCCGGTCGAGCTAACCCATTCGTGCTAAATACCTATTCGAATAAAATATTATATGTTGTAGTAACACACCATTTCCATTATATTATGGTTGAACACCTTTACATTATGTTCAAAGCAAACTGTGAAGTGAAACTGTGTGTTCGGTTAGACGAACGCCTATTTATGTCTGTTTTCTGGATCTTAGCAAGGCGTTCGACATGCTAAATTACGATATGCTATGGCAGAAATTGAAAGATACTGGACTGCCGGAAGAAGTTACTAGGATCTTCAAATTTTGGTATCGAAACCAGGTCAATGTCGTGCGATGGTCCGAAAGAAACCTATTCGCAGCCATATAGGTTGGAGTGCGGGGTACGACACGTACGTACGGGCTTAACATCCCCTAAGCTCTTCAACCTTTATGTGAATGCCCTGATAGAGTTGCTTAGCACCACACATGTCGGTTGTCATATTGACGTAGTATGCCTCAACAACATCAGTTACGCAGATGACATGGTGTTGCTGAGTGCTTCTGTTTGCGGCTTGGCAAAACTGTTGAGCATATGTGAGAGCTACGCCCGCATTCACGGATTGATTTATAATGTCAAGAAAAGCGAATGCATGGTCTTTCAGGCTAAAGGTAAAGACTTGCCCTCATATATACCACCCATTAAGTTATACGGTACCCCGTTAAGAAGGGTGTCTCAGTTTAAGTACCTGGGTCATATGGTATCTTTTGACCTGAAAGATGATGCTGACATAGAGAGAGAGCGCAGGGCATTGTCTGTTAGAGCGAACATGATCGCTCGCAGGTTCGCTCGTTGTTCAGTTCCTGTTAAAGTAACGCTCTTTAGAGCTTACTGCACTTCCTTTTACACGAGCAGTCTGTGGGTGGACTATACGCAGAAACAGTATAATGCCATGCGTGTTCAATCTAATAATGCATTCAGGGTGCTGTTGGGTCTGCCTCGTTATTGTAGTGCGTTGGGTATGTTCGCGGATGCGCGTGTGGATTGTTTCACCACCATGCGTAAACGATGCACATCCCTGGTGCGCAGGGTGCGGGCCAGTTCCAATGGTATCCTGAGGGCATTTTCTGACAGGCTTGATTGTCAGTACCTGAACCATTGTCATATGGTGCACGTGCTGACTAATCGGGCCTGTCTTAGATATAGTTTTTAAAATTAGGTAAAGAGTTTTAAGTTTTACTAACATTAGTTTTAATATTTGTATTATTACTAACATTCTATGATCCTTATGGTCGAAATAAACGATATTTATTTATTTATTTTTATTTTTTATTTCATTTTATATTCCCGTCGTTTCGAGTACTTGACAGCACCCATGGCCACGGGGGTATTGAGTTGTTCCACGTTATACATATATTAACTATTAATATTATAAACTTAAGATAGCTAGTTTCATTTAAATGGGTTATGTCTAGTTCCGAACCTAAACCCATGTAAGTCGCATACCCTAGGATGTCGGCGAAGCGGTCAGTGCGTGTGGACGGCACTGCCACTGGTGCAACGTCCGTCTCCAGCCGGACAGCGCTCCTGAAAATAAGAAACAAGAAGCATTCAATACACGAAATAAGGACATTCTTTGTTTGCAAAATAGACACAATAGGTAGCTAAATAATCGAAATGTTTATACGTGGTTCACAGAACAGGGAAAGTAACGGAGGAAGAGTGAGAGCCGTGCGAGCGCTGAGGCTAACCGCTCGCTCGTCATTGCACAGTACGCGAGCTACACGGGTTTGTTCCTTGCCGTCATCATTACAAGCCTTCTCAAGTCCACTGCTGAACATATACCTCCAAGAAATGCCACAAAGCACGGTCCTTAGCCACGTGCATCTATCAACTTCCTGAATATCTTAGCAAATCGTCACTCTCAAGTGAGGGGCCGCCCCACACTTCGCCTACCGGTACAAGGCTGCCACTCAAGAACCTTTTTTTCCCATCGGTTATCGGTTCTTCGAGCTATGTGGCCGGCCCATTGCCACTTCATCTTACTAATCCAAATAAAAAAAATCCAAATTTGAAAAAGACCCCTGTAATATAAATTGTGAGAAGTACAGGATACTTAGAAATCGCTGCAACACGATGTGTAGAAATGCGCAACGATGCCACATTCATAAGATAATTGATGAATCTGATCCTAATAGGGTTTGGAAATTTCCGAAAAGCTTGGGAATTGGTAAAAAGCAAAATGACTTCCTTCCTCCTGATTTAAACATTGAAATGCTTAATCAGTATTTTTCCTCAAGTTCTAGTCACGTCAACAGTTGTAAATCTAGAACGTTACATCACCTTCATTCATTGCCAACTCCCGATTTCTCTAAATTTGTTCTACGTCAGTTTGCTGATTGTAACGTTAAAAAGAATATCACAGCTGTAACTTCTAATGTTGGTTGTAATAATGTCAGCCAAAACATGGTTCTCCTGCCATTAGATCTCTTGACTCCTATCATAACTAAAATTTTCAACAACTCAAACAAACTCACAAATACAGGTACTTTTCCTACACTATGGAAAGATGCACAAATTATTCCATTACCCAAGAAATCCAATCCCAAGTCCTTCTGTGATTATCGAACTAATTTCCATATTACATTTTCTTTCCAAAATTCTTGAGCGACTTGTTCATCAGCAACTTAGTCTATTTCTGAATCTAAATAGCCCCCCAAATAAATTCCAATCAGGTTTTCGTCCTGGCCATAGCACCATCACTGCTTTGGTTAAAATTACAGACGAAATTTGAGCAGGAATGGAAAAACGGCAAGTTACTATTCTTACTCTTCTAGATTTTAGCAATGCTTTCAACACAGTCGATTTTGACATACTTCTAGCTGTGCTCCGTTCTACTAACGTATCTCCAGCAGCAACCGACTGGTTTCGTAGTTACTTGTTTGGACGCCGTCAATGCATCCGTGTTGAAGACACTTATTCCTCGTGGTGTTCTCTTGATGCAGGCGTACCACATGGTGGCGTGTTGTCTCCTCTCCTTTTTTCAATTTTCAAACGCCCCATTACTTCAAGAATTTCTTCGCTCTACCATCTTTATGCAGACGATCTCCAAATATATTCTCAAACAAGTATTGAAAATCTTCCATCCGCCGTGCTATCCACAAATCGTGAGCTCACAATCATTTCTGAATTTAGCAAATCTTATGGAAACAAGGTTAACCCTAGTAAAACACAAGTAATAGTGATAGGTAGCAGCAAACGACTACAAAAAATTACATGGCATACGCTACCCTTTGTTTGTTTTGAGAATTCTGTTATTCCTTATAGTAAGGTTGTAAAAAATATAGGGGTTCTAATTGACAGTACAATGTCTTAGGGCACCTCAAATTGAACAGATAAGTAAGAAAATGTTTGCAGCTTGTGGAAGTTTTAAGAGACTCCGAAACTTCCTGCCCATTCCTACCAAAATTGCGTTAGCACATTACATTTTGTTAACCTATTTTAGACTATGCTGACATATGCTACACTGATATTACCATGGAGCAATCAAACAAGCTTGAGCGTCTTCAGAATATATCCATTCGATTCATATTTGGTTTACGCAAATATGATCATGTATCCCAATTTCGAAATCAACTCAAGTGGCTCCCTATTCGCCTTCGCCGGACTGTTCATATACTCTCCTTTACTTTTTTGTGTACTGTTTGATCCGAAATCTCCAAGATACCTTAAGGGGATAGAGTAAGCTCAAATTCTAATTTCGTCCCCACTTGCCCGTGCGTCGTATGCTATGTACCGACATGTTTGTAATCACTAATACTGTAAGTAGAAATGTCGTTAGACACTTATTTCATTAGGTTTATCATATTTATGCCTGTTTCTTAACGCCAAGCCAGTCGCTTCTTATTTTTATTACGGTTATTTCCCATTTTAATTTTACGTCGTCCTGTTGCGTAATGTATATTCTGATCGTAAGCGACACAACCTCCCCGTTCAAAGACCGAAGCGAAGTGACCGTGCGGCAGGAATCAAGCTTCAAAAGGCCGATAGTTTAGGTAATTTCTTTTTTACAGTGAAAATAATGGTATTTTAAAAAAAGTAAATAACATAAGCACTGCTTTATAGTTAGTTCAGTTAGTATGCAAAGTTTCATGATCTTATTTAAAGTATTTTATGAATAACAGCGGTGTATTGTTTATTTTGGAGGTAATTTGGGATTTTTTTTTCTATCGAGAAAATTTTACGAAATCATGTTTTCGTCTAACATAATCCTTAACATTAATCCTCAACTTTACCATATATTTATTTCAAAATTAATGCTGCAATATTTTCGGCATAACGAAGGATCTTGCTAAGCCATTTGAGATTATATTTCCCCTGGAATAATTGCACTATCGACATGAATTTGCAACGCAAATTGCGGTTATGAAAACCGCAATTTGCGTTCAGTGTAAAGCTTGGTTTTAAATACTCCTTACAGTGTAACTTCATTTTATAATAAGTCATTTACTTCACTAGCAACGCGACTTTGGAATTCATTACCATTTAACATTCAGAAAGCGCAAGCTTTACAAATCTTTTAAAAAACTACTTAAGGAGTATTCTCAGGAGAGTCATAATAATAAATTAATTTTTAATTAAATTTTCTCTGCAGTGTATAATATACGAATATTAAATTAAAATTATTATACATATATATGTATAAAGTAAAGTAAAGTTACAGCCTATATACCGTCCCACTACTGGGCACAGGCCTCCCCCTCATTTCTGAAAGGGTTTCAGGGCAAGGAAGTATCCGCCGCGCTGTCCCAATGCGTGGTGGCGAACTTCACATGTCTTCGAAATATTTTTTTTCTTGCTCCTCAGACATGCAGGTTTCCTCACGATGTTTTCCTTCACCGCTGAGCACGTGGTAAATCAGCACTAAAAATTGCAATTAACAATTTCATTGGTGCCGGCAGAGATCGAACCCGGGTTACTCGCGTTCTGTTATATTTACAGTGAGCGTTTACCATCTGAGCTACCATGTATATATATATAAAAGTAGTTTGTTCAGAATCGTTTACTGAATCGATTCCTATCTTTTTTAATATAGGTAATTTTTTATCCCAAAAATAATTAAAACTACGTAAATTACAGTCACACTAAATCGGTACAGTCAAAACAAACTTGAATGGACCGTAACTTAAGGCAATAAGACTTTTAAGAGTGCAGTTTTATTTGTATTATTACTAATTCTGTCATTCACTAAAAATAAAGAAAAATGAACTTTATTTCAAGGACGTTAAAGTCTTTGCGTTCGTGGATTTGTACTGTGACCACAACATTCTTCCGGAATTAGTATAACTAATTTGATAAATAATAAAATAATAGTGCATAAAAATGTTTTACAAAAAAATCAGTGTATGTATTATAATTATAACATAATATACTAATTGGGGTGTCTAGGGTGTGCGTTAATTACGTTACATATTGTATATATATGTGTGTGTGTGTGTGTGTGTGTATAATACATATTTATAATCATTAAATATTGTATATATTATTAATATATTTTTATATATGTTATTTAAAAAAAAAATCAGTTTATTTTATATTGCACGGTGCACCGATCCGTTAAAATATAAAATTATAATGTCCTTTTATGTTCGGTTTGTCAGGCAGAAATCGCTTAAAGCGATATGACCACCGTTCGTAGTCCCAGGTTTTCCGTTATTGTAACAACTTTGTTCAAATGCAATGAAGTGTTATCTATCTATATAATCCGTTGGTCTATGTCGGTTACTCTGGTTTTACTGCAGATAATCTCATTTCTAAGTTTATCACTCAGAAAACCCCCGAGAATAGCCTCTCTTCGTAGTCCGCTGAACGACATATAGCATCTTCATACCACATCTCAGATCCATAAGGCATCACTGGCTGTTGCCAGGTCACAAGCTTGTTTTTAAGTTTTGTGGTATACCTGACAAATATATACGATATGGGTCGTAATCTCCCGAACGCTGTCCAGTCGAGTTGAATTCGTTGATTAACCTCTCGTTAGAAGATGAACTTACATAGTCAGACTATTTGTCCTGGGAAACATACTTGTCAGCAACTTCAAGCTTGTGCTCCTAACAACCACCGGCATAGTGTGACATTACACGTGATCTTTTTTTTGTCCATGTTCATCTTAATACCTAGTCATTGGTACCTAGGCACTTTTGAGGTCATTGAGCATTGCGCTTAGATCCTCCAGCGATTCGGCCATAAGGAGTAAGGACTACGAGATGTGGCTAGAAAATAAGGGAACTGGTTTTCTGTGAGACTAACAGCACGAGCCTCAAGGTCAAATGCCATATTGCAGATTCGCCTGACGTCCCCCTATACATTCCAGCTGGTTTGACGACTAGGCTTGCTCATTTGGGCCACAGCCTTCGTCGCATTTTAATTGAGAAACGTGTTAACCTGAAATTTTTAGTAAAACTAGAAAAATCCGCAACAGAGACCTATTCTCCCTTACAATAAGTGTATGAGGATGAATTACATCATGCACAAGGCACACGAGCAACACGGGTTTTTGAGTGGCATAAACGTTTCAAAGAAGG